ATGAGAGGGCCATTTAGTTTTGGTCGCTGAAAAATGATTAATAGTCGTGTGCTTGGCCCTGGTAACCACGACGACGACGACGACTAAGACGCCGGGGAGAAGGACGGACGCAGTTGCAGCCTAAGTGGAGCAGCGGCGCTGTAAATTTCCTTTGGCCAAAGGTAGCTGCAGCGGCGACGACAGAGCAGCAATGTCCAGAGGCGGCGGCAGTGGCAAGAGCAAGGGAAGATGTTGCACTCAGCCCATGTTTGATTTTGTATCTCCGACTGTGAGAATGTTGAACGTATGTGAGTAAAGATATTTGGTTGGCTGCCGTTGTCTACAACGTCTCTCTCTCTCTCTCCCACTCTCTTTCTCCCTTTCTGTCTTTGAAATTACTTTTAACGATTTAATGTTTTGTGAACTGCTTAAATTGTGCAAACAATTTGAACTAAGTGCCACGAAGCGCTGCGGCAGGTGAGAAGGCAGCAGCAGCAGCAGCAGCCAGATTGCAGGCGGTTGCACAAAAGCTTTTGTTGTTGTTGTACGTCTTGCTTTTTGTTTTTGTTGATGTTGTCTTTTGGGGAAACGTTCCAATGGCCGTTGCATGGCGCACAGGAAGTGCAACTTTAATGAAGCGTTTAAGTGGCAGTTGTTGTACTTTCAGCTGTTGCTGTTGTTGTTGTTGGCACGAGAGAGAGAGAAAAGAGAGAGAGAGAGAGAGAGAAAGAGTGAGGTGTTGTGCAGCTGTTGAATGTTCAATGTTCAATGTTTAATGGTCACTGATGCTGGCAGACGAAAGGGAATGCGCGACATGTGACCCGGGAATGGGACTGGGAATGGGAATGGAATTGTGAAGTGTTGCCTTAAATTAGGCCGAGACTCCGACTAAGTTTCAGCTTATCGCTTCCCTTGCTTTTGCTGCTTCCTCAGTTATTCGAGCTATGCAACGCGCTCTATTGCCAAAGGTGTAATTTAATAACTTGGCAACAATCTCAATAGCAGACACCTTCCCGTCTGCCCTTTGTCTTGCTCTGGCCAATGGCCACATGATTCATGCCTGCCTGCAATGGCCGGCCTCCGCCGACGCAGAGCAGCAGAGCTAAAGAGCGACCAACACACACACAGAGAAGGAAATAAAATTCCACGCAAATTAACTTGAAAACGAACAGAGCGATAAAAAAAAATATCCAAACTCTAAATAAGTCTACAAACAGTCGATGGGAAACGGCTAAGGAATGAAAGGGAAGGGAACGGAAGGCACGGACGGACGACGGACAGAGCGAGACCGTCGTCGCTTGGATGCTTCCACTGTCCAGTCAGCGGCGAGTTTGGCGCATGCGTCGACTGCTCAGTGCGCACTGCTCCCCCTCCCCCTGTCGCCCTCTCGCTCTCTCACAGTCCTCAGTGAAGAAAAAAGGGTACCAGTTTCAAGACCAGTCCGCACCAGCGGCAGCCGCTACGAAAAGTCTCCCAAGAAATTCCTTTGGCGCAACAACAAAAAGAAGCAAACAGAGAAAAAAACAACAAAAAATCAAAGAAATCTGTTTCGGAGCAGAGCGACTGAAAAATGTTGTCACGCCGCTTTTACATACTGACCAACAACAGTTGTTCTCGTTCCGTTCACTGTTGTTGTTGTTGTCGATTGGGCCTAGGCCAAGCTATGGACGCAAGCTTCTTCTGTAGATTTTAGTTAATTTGTATAAAGCCTGAATTAATCACGCTTAATTGCAATAACTTGACCAGCCCAACGCGCGCTCTATCTCCATCTCCCTCACATTCTCTCGCCCTTTCTGTCTTCGTTCTCACTGTCTTCGTTTTGGTTTTTACGTTTATTTGATTTGTTTTCAGGTAAACTGTTGCAGCCTCTGCCTTTTGCTTGCCCACCCTTTTGCCCGTTCCACGCTGCTCTTTACCTGTCGCCGTGTTGCGTTGTTTATTTTTGGTTTTCAACGTTGCTTGATTGGTTTTTTTTTTTTTTTTTTTTTTTTGTATTTTTACTTTTTTTACTTTTGTTTGTGTGTTTTGTTTCTTTCCTCATCGCCGTTCTCAATGTTTCGTTATCTTTTGGTCAAATGCAACACGTTGCGTTGCGCTGCGTTTCGTTCATAATTTCAAGGAATTGAACAAAGAGAGCCAGAAAGAGAGAGAGAGCGAGCGTAGAGGAGAGACAGGGCGAGAGAGTTAGCGAACAGGTAAAGACAAACCCTGCGATCGCTGCATTGATATTAATCAAGGTGTCATTGAAATCGTTTAAATTATGCACTCCAATCCAGTTCAGTCCACTCCAGAATTTTTTTTCAGTCTGTCGGCATTTGTGAACCTTTCTTTGTTTGCCCTCTATCTCTATCTCTCTCTCTCTCGCTGCTCTTGGTTAGATAAGTTAGCCAGAGGCTGGTGTTGCAGCCTCTTTTGTTGCGTGAGTCATAAATTTTATTGATTCTCTTCTTCTGCATTCTGCTGATAAGCGCCAGCGTTTAGATAAAGCTAAGACCTTGCCTCAACTCGACTCGACTCGACTCGATTCTCTAACATCGACAACAACAAGAACAAAACTTTTACAGCTTGTCCTCCCAGGTAGTCTGTAAGTAGGTTAGTTAAGAGGCTGTGGGCATGGCTCATGATAAGGCCAATTGATAAGCAAATTGATGTCGTTCCAGCAATAAGATTCTAGACCAGCTGGGGCCACTGAGTTTTAGTTAACTGTCGATATTTGCAATTTGAGTTAAGTTTTTCAGGCGTTTATACTGTCTCCCACCACAACATTTTATATATTCTCCCATCAAACTTAATCATTAAAATGACCGATGATATACATATATATACCAATTAAGTAATATTTAAGTAGAGAAGGTTCAGTAATCAATCTATACTCTTATTTGATGTTATTAATGTTTACATTGTAAGTAAAAAAAATCAATTTATTTTTAACAATTTTTGGATTGAAACATTTGAGAACTTTTGAATATATTAATTTCATAAATATGTTCAATCTAAAATTAATAAAAAACTAAATTAATTTGATTAAATTAATAAATGAGTATCACATAGACAGATACACTTGACTAAAATCATTTTAACGTTTTTTACATTCTGTAGGTTTAGGATTTATAATTTATGTAATCAAGGAGTTAAGAATATCAGTGTCTATATTTTTCTAATAAAATTTAAGCAAAAGTTTCACTTGATTTAAACAATTTATGTTAGACTCTGCCTTTTTGTTACTCATTTTTCAATTATTTGAACTGATTTCTTGATTTGAAAATAATAAAAACCCTTTGCTTAAATATTTGTCTATTCATTATATTAGAGCACTTACCATTGCTGGGTTTTTGTGGTATTTCATTGGCATCGATGCCTCGCCCCTGGAAAATGTGCGAAACGGCGGTGCAGTTGGGGCTGAACTGATCGATGATCGAGGAGCCACCGCCCGCGCCGGTGGAGGAGGAACCACCCGGACCAGGAATGGGTCCAGGCGCCGCCAATGCGGCTATTTGAGCGCCAGCTAAGGAGCTGCCCTCTTGGAGCTGGCCCTCTGCTGCTGTTACTAGCAACAGGAGCAGACTATGGAATATCACAAGGTAGACGGTATTTCTTGCTGTTCTACTGGAACTGCAGCGCAGATCTTGCAGATTTGCCAGTTGTTGTCGTTGACAACGCTTCGCTGAAAACATTTTGTTGCTGTTGGTGTTGCTGTTGCTGTTGCTCTTGTTTTGTTGTTTATGTGTTGCTAAGGCTTTCTCACAATCAATCACACGCACACGTTTATCACACGACGCACAATCGATGGACTTTATGACGGAGCCGGCTTTTGCTGTTGGTGTTGTTGATTTTATTGCACTTTGCTTTGCGTGGTACCGTAAATAAATTTGGCCACAACGTGAGCGACAGTGAGAGACGGACAGGGGAAGAGGGAGAGAGAGTGAGAGCGACACACGCACTAATTTACAAAGATAAACGGCACACGGACAACGTAATGCATTACGTTGTTTATGCCGGCATTGCAGTCGCCTGCGGTTGTTTTTGTTGCTGAGGCTGTTGCTGCTGCTGCTGCTGTTTCTTACTGTGCATTTTATGATGTGCAGGTGCAGCAGGTAATGTGCTCTTTGGTTTTGTTAACAAAGTGTATGAATGTATCAACAACAATTAATGTAACACGCACAAAACACACGCACACACTCTCACTCGCATACGCGGACGCGGACGCACAGCACGCACACAACGAAACCGATGCGAAGCGCAACACTAATAAAATACGTTCGTGCGGATCGAGCGCGGAAATTTGACTGAAACTTAAAGAGAGTCACAACGCTAACATAATGTTAACGTTAACGTTACCAAACTGTTATTTCCACGAAATGTTAATGTGAACACCACTTTTAACAGTGTCTTCCACTTTTACGAATTCAATGCCACAAGTTGAAACACATGTTGCCCGTTGCATGACGTCACAAACTTAAATAATTCATTTGAAACTATAATTTTTTTAAATGACTAAAATCTAAATGAAATGAATTTTTATAAAAAGCCAATTGTTTATATAATTAAATGACATCTAATGCTACGTTCAAACACAACTTACGAGTTACCTGCAACATACTTAATTACAATATTCACAATAGCTAATTTAATAATAAAACAAATATAACTAACTAACTTAAAAGAAATAGAGTTAGCTTTAATAATAAAAATATGCCAGAACTCTTTCACAATTTTTATAAGTCCTGGTTTTAAAAACATATTAAATAGCTTTTCTTGAGACAGCCCTGTCAGCTGTTGTTGGCGGTTAATTTGAATTGCTCAACAAGACTGTCAACTATCGAATTATTTTATTTTTGTTATTCATGCAATAATTGAATATTTTAAATAGTTATATAAAAAATATTAAATATAATTTTCAATATACTTGACCATACGTTTTTCGAAGTTCTATAACTAAACATCTTTGGGCTATCACAATTCTGTTACAGTAACACGATGTAACTATTAGAATATCGTCTGTTACGATTCCTAGCGTCGTTTCTCCCATCGCTAACACAGCTGTTTTGGCGGCATTCACGTTTGGAAAATACGCAACACTTTCGGGACTGAGTTTATTTATAATGTGGAGCTGTCGTTAAGTTTTCCGAACCAAAGTCAAGTGGCAGTATTATTATGACGGATAAAAGCGCAATAAACGAGGCACTGGAGAAGTTCTTTGGCCACAAAGGCTTCAAGTCAGAGCTGCAGCAACGAGCCATCACATGCGCTGTGAAAAGTAAGCTGAAGAGAATTCGAACCCTGCCGAATTAAATGTACATCTGGTCTTGCAGAGAAACAGGATGTTTATGTGTCGATGCCCACGGGCTCGGGCAAGTCACTGTGCTTCCAGCTGCCCGGCTTGATGTGCGAGAATCAGCTGACAATCGTTTTCTCGCCTCTGCTGGCGTTGATCAAAGATCAGATCGATCACCTGGCCAAACTGAAGGTGCAGGCAGACTCGCTCAACTCCAAGATGAGCACCAAAGAGCGCGAACGCGTCATCATGGATCTGCGTGCCATCAAGACGAATATCAAATTTCTGTATATAACGCCAGAGCAAGCGGCCACGAAGTTCTTTCAGGATCTACTCCATTCACTGCACAAGCACAAGAAGCTCGCTTATTTCGCAGTGGATGAGGCGCACTGCGTCTCCCAGTGGGGTCACGACTTTCGACCCGACTACCTAAAGCTGGGCGACCTCCGTGCCAAGTATCCTGACGTTGTTTGGCTGGCTCTGACAGCGACGGCCTCGAAGGAGGTGCGCGAGGATATTTACAAGCAGCTGCGCCTGCGTCAGCCCGTGGCACAATTCAGTACTCCCAGCTTCCGATCGAATCTCTACTATGATATTGTGTACAAGAACTCCATTGAGGATGACTTTCATCATTTGGCCACATTTGCGCAGCATTGTTTGGGCGATGAATCTGAGTTCAAGGCTACGCCGAAAGCAAAGCGCGGTTGCGGCATCATCTACTGTCGCACTCGAGACCAGGTGGAGCGCGTCGCGGTTGGCGTTTCGAAGCAGGGAGTCGGTGCAGTGGCCTATCATGCCGGACTGAAGACAGCGGAGCGCACAGAGGTGCAGGAGGCTTGGATGCGTGGGGATCAGCCCATCATCTGCGCAACCAACAGCTTTGGCATGGGCGTTGACAAGCCCAGCGTGCGCTTCGTTATCCACTGGGATGTGCCTCAAAATGTGGCCGCCTACTATCAGGAATCAGGTCGCGCAGGACGCGACGGTCTTCAGTCCTATTGCCGTCTTTACTATGGCCGCGAAGACGTGCGCTCCATACGTTTCCTCCTGCAGAACGATGCGCAACGCGCTCGTGGTCGTGGGGATCGTGAGATGCTCACGGAGCGCGCTCTGCGGCAATTCGAGCGAATTGTGGACTTCTGCGAGCAGACGCGCTGCCGGCACAAACTCTTTGCCGACTATTTTGGTGATCCTGCGCCTGACTGCAATGCTCAGTGTGATGTGTGCAAGCGACCCAAGCAGGCAACGAAGGCGCTCGAGACGTTTCAAAAACTCTGCATGGACGCCACCTTCAAGTCGGACATTTCACTGCAGGATTGCGCCGATCTGTACGAGGGTAAGTCTCAAACCAGGCTGGATTGAATTTGAAGCAATTTAAAAAACCTTTGCATGTTAGGTGGTCGTGCGGGCACCAAAAGAGCAGCCCAAGATTATGCCAGCAATGATTCGGACCAGGAGTCGGAGCACAGTCACGCAGCTCAGGCGAAGCGGGCCAAAAAGGAAACCGAAAATTTTATTCGCGAACAGTTCAAGCTGCGCAAGCAATTGGGTGCAGCCCGCCAGCTGGAGCAAGAGACAAGCACGCAAATAGCACGCGTGAAGCAGGCACAATCGACGGAGACTAAGATCAGTGGACTGCAGCATACGAGTCGAGAGAAATACCTGGACGCCATCATCGAAGCGCTGAAGGCGAATGTCAAGAAGTGCGAAAAGGAATCGGATCAGCAGCCAAGAAGCGCGCTGAGGCACAATGACTACGAGGCCATGGCAGTGGAACTGGAATACGAGGTATTTCGGCAGCAGCGCGTGGTTAACATGTATCGGCATGCCCTAGCCAAACAGGTGAGAAGTCCAGCCAAAGAAAGTTCAGTTTCGCTCTATAACCATTCCCATTTCTTAGCTGGCCAGCATTAAACAACTAACTGCCAAGACGACGCTGATGCCGCTCATTCGGGACTATGTGCCGCGACCGGAGACAAGCGCCAAGGGCGTCTGGACAGGTGGAAGTGTGGCCTATTTCGAAAGGAAGCTTAAGGAGCTGGAGGAGCAGAAGCCACAGTCTATGAAGGAGCCACCAAAGGCGTTGCGTGAACGCAAAGACTTCAAAGAGGATCAAAGCAAGCAGACATCAATTGCCAGTTTCTTTACCAAAGTCAAGCAGGAGGTGAAGGAAGAAGAAATAACAGAGAGTCCAGAAGAGCATCCTGTCACTGTTAAGACCGAGCCAGAAGAGGAAGCTGAAGAAGATGGGCCAATGAAGGATGTAGAAGAGAACGATAATGCAACAGAAACCACGAAGGAAGTGGAAGATAATGAAATTAAATCAGAGATAGAATCGCCAGTTCTTGAGGCGAAAGTAAAGCAGGAACACGATCAGACTGAGGGTGAGAGTCCTACGAGTGAGGAGCAGTTGGAACTTGAGTTCGGAGACAGAAAATACAGACTTATGGCAAATGGCGATGGTAGCTACGATACGCATCGCAAAGCGCGTGTCTCGCGTCTAGAGGCAGAAACAAAAAAGAAGGAAGTAAAGCCCAAAGACAACTTCAAACTGATTTTTGGCAAGTCGGAAAGTGAAGACGAAAGGAACGAAATCGAGAAGGAGACGGAAACAGAAGCGAGCACAGATTCAGTAAAATTCATAACTGCTCGCCAGATGCTAGCAGATAAAAAGTCGGAGCAGCGGCTAGAAAAGAAGCAACCAGAACTGAAAAATGAATCTTTAACACTTAACGGGGGCTTTCAGACTGCGAGACAAATGCTAGAGCAAAAGCAGAAGAAAGTGAACGTTAAGGAAGAGCCACAGTTAGATGAGGCGAGCGAGTTGAGAAAGAAGCAACCAAACATCGAGGAAGAGCCACATTTAGCGAAGTCGAGGGCAAATAAGTCGCCAGTGCCACAGGAGATGCCAAGAGATGAGGCACAAAAGGTCAAGTCCAGCTCTCAGCTGAAGAAGAAACCTCAAATCAATCAGCAGAAGAACGATGTTAGCAAGTCTGTGGTGCAGTGGCTCAATCCCTACTACAAGCGTAAAATAGCCACCCGGGAGCTGTTCAAGGCTCTGGCAAAGCTCATCACGCAACGCATATGCGACGGCAGCCTGGGTAAGCTATACAATCAAAGAAATTGTGGTTCAGTTTCTAATTTTCATCTCTGTGCTTTTAGGCAACGGCGATGTGTGCAAGTGCTACATCAAGGAAACGTTTCACAGCCTCAAAATGATCGAGAATGACCAAGACATTGAGAAATACTTTACAATTTCTATAAAATGAGAAAAAATTTAATTCTCACATTGCTTTTTGCCAATGTCTGACATCTGCTCGAAATGTTATTAATATGTTAACAGTTGTCATAACTGTTTTTTGTTGTTTGTCGTTGAACCTACTGTAAATATTGATAATCACTTTAAACCTTTACGAAAAACTGCTTACAAAATTAAAGTTGCAAAAGATACGGATATCGCTTGGAAGCCAAGTTTGGATTAATATGATCGGTTATAAGATCCTACAGTAAATACAGCAGATTCAATTAAAATGTCCTTGTTTAAATACCTAAAACAGAAATGTAAATTTGACTTTTTTTTAATAATTGTTCAATTAGACCTTAACAATAATTTGCGTTATATAAGTAGTAACCAGCTAACCCCTAAAACGTGTTATTTAAATGCAAAACTTTTACGCCACATGAAAAATATATATTTAAATAATCAACATTGTTGTTGTAACTTAATATTCAATGAAGGGAAGATTCATATTGTCATTATAAGTATTTTTTCAAAATTTATTTTTCTTTTGTTACAAAAATATTCAGTGTAAAACTTATGTTAGATAGATTAGAAAAAAACGTTTTGTGATTCGTATTCTAGGGGCTGTAAGCGACACTTTAACATTTCTCAAAAAATTTCCTACACTTGGGTTGTTTGTACATTTTCTTTCAATTGATGGCAATTATGATGTGTATGGTACAGACATTCTGAACAATTAGCAGGGAGTGGGGACACCGCTTAAGACTAAGCTCTGTAAATATTACAGTCCAGCTGGGCCAGCGTCTGGAAGAGTCAGCAAATGCGATGTCATTCCAGATCTCCGTGCACGCCAAAGCGAATGGTGAGTAGCACATCCAGCAAATAGATCAGGCCGGTGACCAGCGAAATGGAAGCGGACGCCATTACCAGATCCAGCCGATGCATGTTGGGGTGCCAGTAGTTGCGGTCCTTGGTGTTGCTCCAGTCACGGAACAGCAGCGCCGTCACAGCTATATACAGGATAAAGCCCGCCAGGGACCACAGCGTCGCAGTGCGCCAAGGCGTGCTACGAGGCACAATTAAATTATAAATATATTGGATCACATGCATATATATTGTAGATGTTACTTACAGGTCTCCAAATAGAGCCATTATCAAGTAGATTGCCGTGTAAATGGTCAACGCGCCAAAGGTCACATAACATAGTGCCATTACCCTGGGTGTGATGAAGACGCGCAAGTGCGAATTGGTGGCCGGCTCGTCAATTAGTCCCAGACAGCATATCAGCAGACACTGGCGAAATAATTCAAATGGAAAATTAATAAATTTTATAGAGTTTCGCTGTAAAATATTGTCTTAAAGAGGAAATAGAGTGATATTGACAGTTTATGTAGAGGGTCTATTTGAGAGATTTTAAACATAGGAAATAGGATGAGCTATTAAAGATAATGATACTACTACTATTCTATAATTTTATATATTTCTACATATAATTCTATGTACTGCATACTAATCTTGGCTAGAAACCACTAGAAAGTTGCCTGAATATGGATATCCGGCTTTTGCGTTACTCACGGGTAATAACATTATTTGTCTTATTCCTTTCTTTCATAAATATCCCAGAAATTTCCATCGGATACTAGTCTATTATATACCTATTTACCATATAATATATTCACGCAATAACAATATACTTTGTATGCCGATTCAATCAGTGGGATTAGGGTAGAATTATAAGTCAGATCCCTATAAAGGGCTCAAATCAATAGGATAGACGACGGAAATACACTGACTAACTGATCTTGGTATCCCCAATATTTCAATACGGCTTTGATATTATGAATACTATTATTCTAAACATCTTGTTCAGAAAAGAGCGCAAAGGAAACTAGAAGTACCAAGCCTAATATCTCCAGAGAATATAATATAATATGTCAGCTTAACATTAATTTTAACAGTTCTGTTAATAAAAAATGTAAAAAAATAGGCAAGTGTTTTCCTTGCATTTGGACTATAAATATATATAATTGGTATGTATAGAAAGATTTATATATATGTATGTATATAGATTGATTATATATACATTTTTATATATGTATATAAGTGAAATATCTGTAAAGTGTATTACTTACCAGCTCAACAACTTTGATGGTGATGAGAGTGTAGGTTGCCTTCTTGTTGCCACTTGTTGTGACAAAGGAATTGTCATCTGCCGGCGACATTTCGACCCGTGAGATTTCTGTGGGATGCAATTAGTCAATTAATTAATTAAAGTGAATGATCTCTAATTGGAATTGGCTTGGAGCAGTCGAGCCAAGTGCTCCGTTTGCAGAGTATGAAAAGTACCTATGGAACGCAAGTAACTCATCTTCTTCCTCTTCTTTTTACTGTCGTATTTATTTATTTATTTTACGAACTGCCTACGATGGCGCATTTAAAGTTCTTCTTCGGTATCTATGGATGTTAAGACGGAATTGCCTTATTGGGCTCAGAGTTATTTGTTATTCTTTTTATTATTAACTCGAGTGCGCAGTGGAGCGTGTTAAATGCCTCAAAAAAAAAAGTGCTGGGAATTCGTGTCAATCGCGGTGGGGAAGGTCTCTCTCACATTACTTCCAAAATGGGCTCTAATTGATTGTCTGTACACGAAATCTCTAAGGGCCTTCTAAGGGGAACCTAAAATGATGTCATCTCTCTGGATGTGTGGGTGGGTGCAGCTCCAAACGATTTCAGCAGTACAAATGAGCTATGACCAGGTGAGTCAACAGTTGCAGCTATGTGCATTGTCAATTGAATATTGTGGAATACGTAAATTCCACAGTAAGTCCCACTCTGTTATAAGCTATTCTAGGTACAATCTCCAATACTAAGACAAACTGCCTTAAAAACTGTCGTTGGCTTCACATTTTACATTTATACTTTTCTTTTAAATTTTATATACTATTCTTTTAAATTGTTTAGACTAACTGGAGTCGATTGCTAATGCCAAATCGCGACTTAATTTATGGCTTAAGCTAACAGCGCTAGTTAAATCTATGCTCGTGCCTAAATATAATATACCTATATAATATTAAGATCTCCCAATCTGATTGTTTTCTAGGTACTATTACAAATACTACTTTGAAAGCTCGTTCGTTTATTGCATATAATTTATGATATAATTTGAAGTTAAGTAAATTTTGCAGTTGAATCAATTTTGGTTAATCAATTCAGTTCACATAGGGCGTTGCAATCGATTTCAGATTGGCATTGAGATTTTATCGTGGGGAGCAATGCATTTACCATAAAGGCATTATCAACTTTTAAGCATTTTATTTAAGTTTTTTAAATTGAATTATAAAAATGCATCAATGAAAAAGGAAAAGCTAGAAAAATGCTTCTCCATTCGTGTTCAACTGTGGGCGACCTACAAATTGGGTTGACTGATCAAAATAGGATAAGCGACATGTATTCTACATATAAGTATGAATTTTTCTATCAAATAAAAAGAATAATTTAAATAAGTCTTTTTTGAAATTAATAGAATACACAATATTAGATTTTCATACAGTTTTCCATTTCTGGTATGTATCTACTATAGAGCGGTGTGTTTACATTATAAATTGTTTTTAATATATTTATATCATTCTATAAGTAAATCTAAGATATAATATTATGTATAAATCTGATATAATTGATATATAGATAGATTGATATATAGATAGATATATATATAGATATAGTGTAGATGGTAATCCCAAAAATGTTAGCTAAATCCTTCAGAATTCCTACGTCATAAATGAGAATAAGAATCAAATAAAACCCACGGAACTCTATACTGCAACTAGTGCACAAATGTCTTTATTTCTAAATCAAATGATTTGGGCAATATATTATTCATCAGTCAGTCAGTCAGTTAGTCAGTCAGTCGTGCAATCAGCCAGGCCAACACTTAAATACATATCATTTCGAGTAGCTGCCCAACAGTTCTTGTTTGTTGATGTGTCAACAATTACTGTTCAGCCAACAATGCGGCACTCGGTGGGGCCAACACTTCTGCTTGTGTTGTGGTTGGTGTTCATGGGGAATATTTTACTGCATGGTTGAGTTATTCGGGGCATTCATTCATGCCTCATTGATTAAGACTAATTGCATTGGCAAAAGTCACGTACTATAAAAAATACCATAAGCGAGGCCCAGACGGCAGAATTAAAGACCAAATTGACCCGCTTCACCCACTCCCAACTATGCGCAAAGCTATTGAAATGCAGACGGGAAAACCAGAAGCCGAAAAACCCAATTCAAATAATGTTGGGAAAAACTTTCGCTCGTAGACGTGTGTAGGAGAGCGAGGGAGAGAGACAGAAAGAGGGAGAGGGAATGAGTGGGCGTTAAGTGTGTGATTGTTTGTTAGTTAACACTAATTTGAAATACTAACAAACGGTCTAGTGTCTAGGTTCGATATTTCTGAGGAGGGAAATTAACGTTGCGTGTTGTCAAAGAGTCATCAATAAGTAATTTTGCTTAAATAACCGAAATGCTGAGCACATGATACCCTATAATGCGGGGATATATAAAAACTCTGTTATTGAAAGTAACGAGCTGAACCTATATAATTTTAATGCCTGAAAGCCTTCTTTGTATACTTTATTATTCTATAAATATTCTATAGTTATATACAAATTATTTTGAAATTTCCTTATAAATATCTAATATTCTTTAAAACAACTTGTCTATTGTTTTAAATTTCCCAATGAATAAATAATTTTTGAATTTATTATAAATCATGTTTATTTATCTAATATTCTCTTATTTTTTCAATTTCCTAAATAAATTATTCTATAAATTATCTTGTAAGTATTATCGTCTAAGTATCTATTCTGTTTCCTAACATTATTATGTCATTTCAGCATGATTCATGCATTAGGAACTTTGGCTTAGTAATTTTTGGTAGCAGATCCCGAGACGTAATAATTGCCGTAATGCCAAGCAATTGAGGAAATGACACGACAACACTTTTCGTGTTGATGCTAACAAACTTCTCACGTTTTTTTTTTTCAATTTTTTGTTTTTTTGCCAAGCCAAACAAAAAAAACAAAACAATTTAGAAGAAAGCTTTAAAAAAAGAAAACAAACAGAACAACAAACAAAACAAACGCTGAATAATGTAAACAAATCGCTTGACCAGTTCAACGGGTTTTTTTTTCGAGCGGCAGAGGGACAGACGGACACACAGAGGAGAGAGAGAGAGAGAGAGCGCACCAGTGAGTGAGGCAGCCACACCTGTTTTGCGCTCGCGCAACCACAAAGCTGAGCTGGCGCTCTCTCAACTTCCTCTCGCTCGCTCTCTCTCTCTATATGTGTGTGTGTGCCCAATATTCTGACCGGCACTGTGCCTTAACCTCGTTTCGCTTTCCGTTGGCTTGGCGGGCAGCCCTCTAACTGGTCTGGCCTGGCTCTCTGCGTGGATTGGGTCATCGACTTGCCAGCAATGTTGCAGTTGTTGTGGTTGTTGTTTTTTTGTTGTGTTGTGTTTTGTTTTGCTAAGCCATTCTTGAGCTGTTTCAGTTTCATCTCGATCGCCAAACACTTCCGCTATAAGAATTGCCATATTTTTGGTTCACTTTCAAATGCGCATCAAATGCTCTTCAGGCGCATTGACAAATCGTCACAGAAACTGGTTTTTCATGCAAGTTTCGAACGCGTTACACCCCCAACCTGCCTCCCTCTGCCACTTGAATGCATTTCCAACTGACTCGCTCTCTCTCCCTTTCTCACTCTCTCCTGCGCTGAGTCTCTCTGTCTCGCTCTCAAGGGGCGTATTACATTGGCGCCTACTGTACCTAACCAGGCTGTTGTTATTGTTGTTGTCGCCAAAGGGCGAGCACTGTAAACTGAGTTTGCGATTTGTTGACCTCATTCCTCAGTCCAAGTCTGAGGCGCCGTTTCGGCTTCAGTCCGCGACTCCCACACGTTAGCAATTGTAATGGGGTTTGGGCCTGGTCATGCAATTTGCTGTTGATGTTGTTGTTGTGGTTGTAGTTGTTGGCTCTGTCGACAGTTGTGTTGAGTTGTTGTCGGTTGCCTAGGCAGCCCAATTGGCGAATTCAATGACACAGCCAAAGGAAGGTCAGTGTCAGCGAGTGTTAAATTGTGTTTATTCCCTTAGTTTCACAAATACTACTGCAAACAGTTAATGGCTACATCAAAAAGGCAGTAACTAACGAGCCGAGTTAAATGTTGTTAACAATCAAATGTTAAGAGTGGCTGCAACCAGCTGCATGATACCCGTTCACAGCTCAAAGTGTGAAATCTTAATTTATATTATGTATTAAGGTATAAACTATTGATTTAATATACAACAATCCTGACAACAATAACTAGGTGAACATTTTTAAGTTAAAATTAAATAAAAATATATACATTTGTATGTATATTCAATATATTTAATAATTTAGAGTAGAGTGAAATTCAGAAGTAATAGCGTAAGACCCTACTAAGTTTAGTATGCATTGGTATGAAAGCTGACTCCATAGGTACAGCTCCATTTAATGTACAGAGTATATACCATAGAGAAAATACTACAGCGAATATACTATAGAGAATACTTATACTATTATATACTTATATATTATATTATCTAATATATATTATTAGATATAACTTTAAGTTTACTAAAGATATGTTCACAGAGATAAATGTTTAGCTATACAGCGAACTATATTATAAAATGAATGATATATAAGCTGAGGAGAAAAGTCCATTCTATATATTTCAGAGAGATTAGAATACAATCGATATACGAATATCTGAAGTAATTCTTAAATGTTCAATACATTTGGATTCCCTCGTTAGCATATAATAATCTGACTCGTATGCTTTGCCCATTGTTGTTTTGATATTTAAATATTATCTGATATATAAGTTCCCTGCTGACTTGAATTTCTTTTTTGAAGCTCGTTAAATTCAAAACTTGATATACCACTAACTTATTAAATACGTAACAATTTTATTCCAATTTTATTCCCCCGCTATTTCAAATTTAATGTATGTGAATGTTAATATTGAGTTTATAGAGATATAGAAGTCAATGAATATATTTTTAAAGTCAACTTCTATTTAGGCATTCACAAAGCTAATATTCCCTGTTAAGAATTATCCACCGAGTAGTGCAAAGACAAACTATTCAGTTGCCTAACCCGCTGTGGCAACAAATAGCTCTAACAACTGTACAAACGGTAGCATGCATATATCCATATATTTATATATAGATACACATTTTTTTTTTTAATATTTGCCAACTTAAGCTGTTCTCAAACGAAGCTTGTAATTCGCATTCGGAACACGCCCAATATTAGTTTACGTGAATCATAGGACAAACAGTTTGTTAGCCAGTTCAAATTATGCACAATTAGCACAAGTCGAACAACAACAACAACTATTTGTCAGGCTCTTATTGTTGCTGTTGTTGTTGTGGTGGTTATTTGTTGTATACTGTACTACAATAACAATTAGTTTTCGGGTGGGGCACAGCGAGAGCATCAGATCTTATAGATGAGTCTAGAGATGAGAGCAACGATCTGCGACTCTCTGAAACTGTCTCCGACTTCGACTTCGACTTCGACTTCGACTCCGACTCAGAGTCAGAGTCAAACTCCGTCTCGGACTCGCTTTGATAGCATTTGATGCACTTTTGCGTGTTGGCATAAAGTTAGTTTTAACTATTTTTACATGTTTACAAATGTTTTTCAGTCTTTCAGAAACAGGTTTTTAATTCAACTGGGTGTGTGTGTGTGTGTGTGGGTATTACAACATATTAGATATATACAGTTGCGTACATGGGTAATACTTATTAGAGGTGCAGAAAAGTGCAGCAATTTCTGTTGTTGATGCTGTTAGCCAAAAACTAAAACACGTTTGCAGTGAGCCAAGCGCTAAACACACACACAGATACAGTCAGAACTTGAAGCGCGCAATTCGATTTGTGTCTGTATGTGTACGTTCACACACATATATTTTCTATTTCAATTCGTTTTTCTTTTTTAATCCGCTCAATCGGAATCGGGAAAGTTTGAAACTGAAACCGACGACACGACAACGTCAACTGTTGTAGCTTACGTATAGCCCAAACCTTTCAGGCCCGAGCCCCAGCCCCATAGGCACAGACAGAGAGAGAAAGAGAGAGAGAAAAAGACTAAAACTACACAGACAGCGAGAGAGCGGGAGAGCCACACACACACACAAACGCACACGCAGCGCGAGCATAATTGAACGCGCTAAGAGAACGAGCGCTTAAAACATGTTTGGAAACTTCAAAGCTGACAAAAGTGTTAATTGCTACTCAAATTAGAAAAGTTAACTATAAAATACTTTATAGCAACTATTGTTAGTAGCTGCAAATTTTTAGTTAACATCATTTCAAATTGAATTTAAAAGTTCTCTTGGTGTTTGGTTGATATAGAAATTTAAAAGAAAAACTGTTAAATTGGCCAGCTATAATGTTAGCCGAGTTTCGAGCCAAAACACACCCTGCCTAATATATGAGATAGCACTGTTCTTGCTCTGCTTATATTGCATTTTATATTCACTGCAAAGGAAATTTCAAATATCCCATACATATTTTATTATAGAAGAGCAATAACAGAAACGCCCAGTTAGCCGAGATACAAACCAAACCAAGTTTATTAAGCTAAAGAAATAGAAACTGCCATCACTGACAAATATGTTAAGCTCATTGAAGCATTCTCAATTAAATGAAATTCCTTGACCGATTCATGCTAGTCCTGACTAACACGTACCTCGAACTTGCCACCAGTGTAAAAACCAAATTAGACGCCATATATATGACTACATTAACTATGGTTGCTAACTTTGCTGATGAGATAAATTCCATTAACTTATATTGTCCATATCAACTGTAAAGGAAATTATAAATATCCCATTGCCTACATGAATTATAAGATAGATATACCGAGTTAGTCAAGTCACCAACCAGGCATTCTTACGCTAAAACTACTTCAGATTATACATATCAATCGTAAGGAACATTTCAATTAACCAAAGATCTTTGATTTCAATTAAGCTATATTTCCCTTATTTGCTGCAATGGTAATTTTTAAAATCCCATGAACAAAACGGCAGTAGAATTATAAACACAGTTAAAAGTCTTAACTTTATTTTTTTCATAATTGTTTTTAACTCTCGTCTTTCTTTTATGATTTAACAAAAATATACACAGCTAGAAAACTAGGAAATAGAAAACTTGAATAAATACATGTTTGTTAACTGTACAGAGCATTACGAATTAGTTGTTAGTGTTTGTTGTTGTTGTTGTTTTCGTGTGTTTATAGTTAATTATTATACATACATATTACTACATAAGGTGCCACCTCAATATTGAAACAACAAAACTTAAATACAGTCTTTCCGTTTACAGGCCACAAAAATAATTGCCGCTACTTAAGAGAAACAATAACTAGCTAAAACAACACAATGGAACGTATATGAAACAGCTACCTACGACTTGAGTAACTGATATTTATTCATATATATATATATATTTATTAAATGAACTCTACTTTCTAGACCTTTTTTCTATGTACAGTTTGGTGTGTTTTTTGTCAGATATCTGGGTTATACACTATATATATCTTTCTATTATATACTCGTTTCATATACGAATGTCGCTCGCATATTGGAAAAAATTAAAGCATACTTTGCGGCTGAAATGTTAAATGCAAATGCCTGACAGAAGCTAGGTGATATGTTACGCCTTACGCAATTTGCACGGTGAATATATAATTCGCTGTAAGGGTACGACTGCAATCGATCCACAGTTAAATTTTTGGTTTTAAGGAAAGTTTTCTGAAAACTCTTAAGCTCCAATTTACAAGCGCCATATCAGTTCCTACCTTCGGGGTTTACTTGCAACATAAACGCCTCTGATCAGTAGGTTTCATAACTCCCGATCGCGCAGCCTCAGGCTCAGCGGCGTTTTCGGTGCCAGAAGGAATTCGAATTCCGTTTCCAGCGGCTTCACGAAGCTCACATCGAAGGCCAACACGAGCTGGAGATGGAAGAATCATGACTATACGATATATATCGGCAAATAATATGCTCAAGCTAACCTTGGCCAGCAGCAGCACCACCTCCATTTCGACGAATCGCTTGCCGGGACACGTGCGTCGACCCACACCGAAGGGCACCACAATGCTGGCACTGTCCACGTTCACAGTGAAGTTGCCGGAGCTGGCGTCAATCCAGCGCTCGGGGCAGAACTGCTTGGCCTCCTGGAAGTTGGAGTCCTTGTGGCAGGCGATCATGTTCTGGCACAGCACCACCGTCTAGACGAAATTAGTGTTAAGAAAGACCTGTTTTTAGAGACTACGATTTGCATACGGCTTCTGTATGGGCGTTGAGTACTCACGCCCGCATTCAAGGAGTAGCCGGAGAGCTCCATGTCCTCTTCAAGAATGCGTGCCAGGCAGAAGGCGGTGGGTCTCAGCCTGTAGGATTCCTGAATGCAGGCCTTCGTGTATGTGGCATTCGTCAGCGCGTCCTGCAGAATGTTCGTGTCACGATACTCACGAAACTCTTCGTATATACGCGGTATAGCCGATTCCTCTCCAGTCACGGAACTGAGCACGAAAAGGAGGGTGTTGGCTAGCTAGAAAGAGAGACAAACGAAATGCCATTAGGTCTCAGCTCTCAATTCTCAACTCCAAATTCTCAGTTCTCAATTCTCAACTATAAATTCTTGATTCCCAATTCTCTCTCAATTCTAATTTTAAGTTTTAATTTCAACTGATAATTCCCAATTCTCAATTCCTTCTCACTTCACCGTCACCATCCATTCTCTTCACTTCTCCCCTCAGCACTCTTACCGTTTCAATGCCCGCGGCTATAAAGTCAATTATGGCCGACTTCTTGTCCCGAATGTCCAGCTCCTTCAGCTCGAGTATATTAAGGAATACGCTGCGCAGGCCGGCAGCGTCTTCATCCTCGCAGGCCGCCGACTTCTTGTGCTCCTCCAGCTCGTTGTCGATGATCTCCGAGATGACACTGTAAGTATGCATTAGTCATGGCTGCTAGGCGAGCTGCCGCACGTCGTATCCTTATACCTACTCATAGATCAAGTCTTCGGCGCGCGCGAACTCCCGATAGGTCTTCGTGGGAAAGTATTTCCAGAGGCCCAGGCCATAATACGAGTCGCGCTGGGAGATGAACAGCTGCTTGACGGCCGCCGCTAGTTGGCTGATCTTCTCCGGCTGCTTGGTATTGACGCTCAGGAAACCCATTCTCCTGCCCAGCATGAGCGTGCAGACGGCCTCCAGGCCCATCAGGTTCGCCAGCTCCTCGAAGTTGGCCACGATCTGAGTCTGGGGATCACGCTTGGCGCGCAGCAGCTCCACGAAATCATCACAGACGGCGTTCAGAGCGGGCAGAAAGTTCTGCAGGATGCGCGGCGAAGTGATGCTGGAGGTGAGGGAGGAGCGCAGCCGATGCCACATCGGCCCCTGCTCGTTCACAATGCCCACGCTCGCATAGCGATCGGGCCGCGACTGCCGATACATGACGATGATTTCGGTGGGCGGACGAAAGGGATATTTGCTCGGGTACTTGAGCACCTTGTCCAGATCTTCGCGGTTATACAGATGCACGATGGGCACGTTCGAGGGCATCACCTCGAGCACAATATCGCCATACTGACGATTCAGATCTGTGCGAATGAGAGACAGACAGAGGCAGAGAGAGAGAGAGAGAGAGAGAGAGAGAGAGAGAGAGAGAGAGAGAGAGAGAGAGAGAGACAGAGAAGGGAATAGAGTCTGTTGGCAAGTGCTGTAAATTGTGCTGTGGGCATCTCTCACCTGCATAGACCTCGTGCAGCTTCGTCATTTTGTAGCGTCGGAAGAATACGAGGAATATCCACTTGGTGCCCAGGAAGGGAATACGCTGCGGCCCAGGTATATCCCAGATGCTGCGCCGCTTCCGCTGCTCGATGGGCGTCGCATGGTAGCAGTCCTCGAAGGGCGTGTTCTTCAGCAGCGGCTTCAGATAAATCGCACTGATCTTTTGCCTATGGATCGCGCAATAGCAACCGAGTACGAGTGCCAGGGCGAGCAACAGTATCACGGCCATTACCATTGGACGCTGCAGAGAGGGAGTTGCAGACGGGGGGTTAGGGTTTACTTATCGCATTCAAATTTTCATAGACATCTGTATATACTTTATATATCTTATGCAAATTTTGTCACACGCTCGAGCTGATCGCCTGTTAATTGACTTCATGTACAGCACCCAGAGCAAACCGGTCCCTGGCCTTAACTCAAATGTTGCTTTATTTAGGAATTGGCAGCTAGATTCGCCAATCATTGATTTTGCATTGTGTTTCGGGTGTTTCAGATAAGAACACTCTAGAGCTTAATTCTTTTGTTGCGTCGGTTGATAAGATAAACATAGCCACGGCACAGTTCAAGGTTAAATGAAATGAAAAAACTAAGACATTATGACTTGCAAAAGGAAAATTTGGGCAATAGAGCAAAAAATAAATACAAAATCAGATAAGAACGTTGAGCTCAATCGCAACTGACTGCATAATACTCGTTCATGCAAAGGCGAAACTTGAATTGATTAATGAATTGCCTTGGCTCGAGTTTGTGTAATTTATGTAATTAGTATCTGCTTGTAATTCATATCTGAAAGATTCGATATGGAAATATTTGACATATGCAAATTAATTAATTCATATATTGTATTTATAAGGACTAGGTCCTCAACTGAATAGGATTATATCTGTTTGAGTATCTTTAAAACTTGAGGGTGTAGGAGCGGTATTATTACTCTCCCTGAATGTGTTTCGATCCTAGCCCAATTGCCGTACTTTCAGGTCAAAGTTGAAGTCCATTTGCCACACCCGAAATTATCCTATTCAACAAATCTCAACATTTTATCAGTTATTGCAATTGCTTTAAATTATATATATTCAACGGATTGATAGATAACAACCCAACATAAAAGACGTATAAAAATTTGAATATAAATATCTATTGCTATATTCAGTACACAAAAATACATTGAAATTCAGGTATTTTCGGTATAAATAGATTATAAGTATGTATAAATAATAAATAATTTATTTTTGTCTGTATTTATTTTGTCAACCAAGAATATCTTTAATTAATTAACATATTCTCAATATTATAAATATCACAAAATACATAAAATTATAATTGCAATTTACTCCATCAACTGTTTCTCTACAAGCGAAATTATTAATGTTGCTTATCACGTTCTTGAATTATTCTTTAACTTGCGAAATAGGCAAAAGTACATACATATCTATATATCCACATACATTCATACATATGACTGTATTTTTGTGGTTTATATAATTAAGGCGTCATTGCTCTAAGCTGGCGTAAACAAAACCCGAAAAAAAAATCCAAGTTTTATTTGCGCATTGGACTATTGAGTGGTGTTGTTGGTGTAGAGAAATACTTGATAGAAATCGTGAAATTCGAATTCGAATGAGACAGACGTAGGAGAGAGAGGTAGAAGAACTGAGAGTAAGGAACAAAAACTTTCCCATCGTCTCGGCTTACATAATAAATTACATAATATGCTTTCTAATGTCGCATTCTAGCCGCTCGATGCTTTCTTCTCTGGTTGTCTTGTTGTGTTGTTGGCTTGTTGCCTGCCTGTTGGCTATGTTGTTTCTGAGCCGGTTTTAAGAGCCGACTCGTGGAACGGGGGCTTCTAACGCGGCTCTAACGACGACAGCCAACACGCGAAGATATTCCCCCGTTCGATTGAGACTCGACTCGATCTATCTATGTATCTGCATATTAATCATGGGGCCGGCAGTCGACGAGACGAGATCTGTGCTTAGAAGAATTCGCAAGAATTCTTATTAAAAAGCGAGTTTTTTGTTCATCTACTACGACTACACTACTACGACTACTACTACAACTATTAATGTTAGCTGCTTGGAAAAGTGAGAAGCGCTTAGAACGGCGCACGCGTCGCCCCACAGATGAGGAAGTGATTAACAGCAAAGAAGGAAGTGCTGAACGGGCTGATGATTTCTATTTCTTGTGTTTCCACTTTTCGCAAACCACAAGAATCTACAAAGTCAATTGAATTGAATTGATTTCGACTTCAGAGAGAGCCTCTGGTTGAAAGCGAGTAGGCGACATTAGGGAATTGCCCAAAGTCACGTAGCTACCCCAAAAGTATATCTCTAAGTCTAGTTTGAAGTGTTCTTTATCTTAATTTCTTCGCAAATATATCGTGTGTTTTATTTGATATAGCATATATTTGTGTGTGTCCGTGTGTGTGCTGGGCAAACATCAGTGGGCCAGGTACTTTCTGTTTATGACCAATTAATCATTCTCAAACATACATTCGAGAGCACACAAGATAATTATTGTATCTGCGATCAATATTAAATCAAAGCTGTAAGGTACTTCCGTTGGAAATGCCTTTAAAATTGTGAATCAAATTTCGAAAATATCTAAAATACCTTAAAGACATTATTGTAAAAAAAGTGTGGGTGAATATTATAAATTGTTTTTATTAAAATTAGAACTGTATAGAAATTTGAAAAAGAAAAGCAAGGAAAAGATGGCAAATAGCCTAGAATATAATTAATGCAATGAAAAGTAAATAAAACAACTAAAATTATTTTTAAAGATCTAACAAAACATAAACTTTAACAAAATAAATAAATTTTGTAAATTTGAAATTATCTCAAGTTAAATGTACTGAGTTATAATGAATATTTCTGAAAATATCAATTCAAAGTCAAGCAAAGGATTTCGGCACCACTGTGACAGGTTCTAATTGCTTGCCAAATTTTCAAGCATTTTTGTTTGTCTTCCAGCCCACTGTATGGGTCGCACGCCCGTCTCAGGGCTCCACGCGAGCTGTGGCATTCCTTAGCTTAATTTGATGATCATTTTTCAGCTTTCTTCAGTTGTATTTTTCCTTGGTATTACCTTACAGCTTTCGATGAATGCTTTCCCAAAAACAAAAACTACAACAAACACACACAAAAAGAAAAAACATACAAACGCAATATAAAAATGTAAAAAAATGTAAATAATTTCGACAAATTCAGCAAATTAGTTTGCATTGAACTGATTCCTGCGGCGTCTGGCTGTCCAAGTCCAAGTGCAACCGCAAATTAATGTTGACACCTACATAAAATTATTCAGCGTTTGCTTAGTTACTTAGTAAAGTAAAAAATAAATGATAAATATAAAACTCGTACTTATACAAGGCGACCTGCAAACGTAGCTAAAATGTGGCACAAAAAAAGCAGTTTCAAAAAAAAAAAAAAAAAAAAAAAAAAAAAAGAAATCAACTCAAATTGAAAAAAAGTGTTCTACCAATTAGCCGATATTTTGTCGTTGTTTATTTTGCGAAATAAACAAGTTTTTGTGTTTTCATCAGAATTTACATAAAGTTTTGATCATATTCTTGGCTATTTTTTAATTTTTTTATTGGCACATTTTTCACAATTTATGCAAATCAAACGAACCAAAAATAAAGTTATATATATAAGTATATATAAAAAAATATATAAAAGAGAATAAAAAGCCACGCGATCCGCTGCGCAGTTACAGAAGAAGAAACCTCAGCTCAAAGCGTAGAACGCTCAACATCAGCAGATTATGTCACTACCGACCGACCATATAACATTGCACACGCAACGGAACCCAAACGATCCGATGGTTCGTTCATGGTCATGGCCAAGTCACAAGCCCCAAGCCCCAAGCGACAAACAGGCAAACAGCCAACAGGCAAGCCAGCGGCAGCAGCAGCCGCAGCCAGCTAACAATTTTTCGCGCATAGCATTTGTCAGCTGACGGTGCTAGACAGAGACAGCAGTAGAGAAAGACAGAGAGAGAGAGTGAGAGGGAGGGCGGGAGATAGAGACCGCAACCCATTAGCTAAGCCCTGTCCGACGTTTGGCCAAGTTCAATGTACGGCCAACGACGCGCATGAAAACAACTGAACAGCTGAACAGCTGAACAGCTGAATAGAGGAGTCTGTAGACAACCTCCACCTACCTGCCTAACCAAACCAAACTCACCTGCCCACCTGTACACCTGCCCGCCTTGTCGCCACCTTGCCGTGGCTTTGAATCGTAATAGAGAGAAATAGAGAAATTTCGCATTAGATTATTGCAGAAGCGCTAAGGCCTCGAACAAACTAGCTTTGGGCTTTCATGTTGTTATTGTTGTTGTTGTTGCTTTTGCCGTTGGCTCTGGTGAATTATTCAATACCTGAAGAATCGTTAGAAATGAAGCAAAGGAGAGCCCCAAAAGGCACACCTCAAAATTCTTAAAATAACACCGTGCGCGCAATATCTAGAAAGTTCAGCAAAACATTGAGTCGAATTCAATGAATGGGACTTATGTCATTTAGGCTTTCCCTGATCATAATCATAATATAATAAATATTATTAGCTCCGTTTGAATAGTTCTACATATATAAACAAAGTAAATCGAGTTGCACATTTTAAATTCAACTTCATTAAAAATTTGGAATGCGTGTTTACAGCTCATAATTTATACTCCAAAATTACATTCCAGATCAAAATAAAAAACCCATATATATCATTGCCCTGAAAAGTGTCGGTCAATGCACGTTATTTGAAACAAATGATAAAAATGAAAGAAAGAAATAAACAAACAAAATCTTTAAACATAAAAAAGAGGAGTGACTGGCAATCACTTTCAAAATGTAAAATGTAAAATGATTGTTTTTGTGTTTATTACAAATCAGGCTAATAACAAAAGGCAAATATCAATTGCACAATTCTTTTTTAATGATGATAATGAACTTGAGCCACGTATAGTATGTACATATATATGTACATAAATGTTATTTGATAACAAAGGCGAATTATTTCTATACAAAATCTGCCTGCAACTGTCTGCTAAATATTAATGAGTAATTCATTAATAAATCAACAACAAATCAGATGCAACCGGAGCGCCCCCAGCCCAGACCTACGAGAAGCTAATTATTGTTTAATGTTTGCCAAAGTAATATAAATATTTATATAAATATATATAGTATATAAATGCATGTAGTGTAATATTATTTTTATGTTTGCTGATTTCATTTGTATGTGACGTATATTTAATAAAACATTTATTTTGATTAACTGCGAATTGTGAAACATTTTTTACACTTGGAAAAAAACGTGGGCCTGTTTATCCAACTAAAGCAATGCTAAAATCGTTTATATTGATGGCTCTTATATTTTAAATATGAATTACATATATATTATATCCTATACAAAACTCGACCTTGACCCATTTGTTCTAGGCAAAGTGGAGCAAAAACCCTAATAAGAATATTCAATTCTCTTATTAAAACTTTATTCTTTTTTTTTTTTTTTATTATTTTAAATTTACATTTTAAGAACTACATTTATTTAGGCACACCCTTTCACTGTTGGTTTAAATTTTTATATATTCATATTTATTTCGTTGCATATATTTCACTATTGCCAACTTACCTTATGTTTGTATTACTTTTAAATCCAAAAGCAGATCCGTTTCGTTGTTGTTAATAGAGTTTTAGTTAGCATTTTAGGCATTTCTTTGCTCCACCAAGTTAACTGAATTTATTTATGGGCGAACATATTGCACTGCATAACACATGTATGGTATGTATGTTTGGTTGTATGTATATATATAAGTAAGACTATTATCACTAACCGGCATTTGAATTGGTTTTCAATTATAATATATAGATAGAACTAATTGGTATTTTCTTTCTTCTAGAATATTTTATAAATATTTTAGCTATATTGCACATTGATAATATATTTTTGTTGATATTTAAAGCTCTTTATTGCTGCATATTTTCGTTCCCTCTCGCTCACTCTCGTTCTCTCTCTCTCTCTCTCTCTCTCTCTTTGTCTCCTTCTCTGGCTGCCTTTCTAATCAAAATTAGAAGCTCCGTTCCGCAGTAGTAGTTGTTGTTGTTGTTGGTAGTGTTGTTCTCGTCATGGTTCCGAAAACAATAGAATATGCTCAACTTGATTTTTTAATCACACCCAGACATTGCACTTTTGCACTCGTACTGGAGATTCGTAATTGCTGACTGCCTATTGTTGTGCGTCGAGTGTGCGTGTGTGTGCGTGGTTGTGCTTGTGTGTAATCAAAACTGCATCCGTATCCGTTCGATAGAAATATTTGGATATATATATATATATATATATATATGTATATAGACGTGTGTGCTTGCGTTGCCCGAGACCCGACCCGATACCGAAGGAATCAGCTAAACAGACGAGAACAGAACAGCACAGAGTTAAATCAGAATCCGATTCAGAGTCCGAAACAGTAGCCGTAACCACAGTGCCCGCTGCGATGACAACTGCGACGCTTCGTCAAAGACTGACTGAATATGAATGGGAATGAGTGTTGAGTCCACGGTCTACGACGGCGACGGCCACGATGTGCGATCGTTTGAGCGCCTCGGCTATGCGATCGCCGCGAGCGGCTCTTCCAACTGATTTAATAGCCGTGCGGTACAACAACAACAACAGCAGCAACAGCAATGAGAGCGGCAGCAGCAGCAGCAGCAACAGATGCAACAAGTGGCTGCGATTCGGATCGATCGGGTTGATCGTGCAATCAACGAGCGTACGATCGATTGACCGACCGACCAGCTGTTCGAGTCCGTTTTGTGTGAGTAAGGCAAGGTTCTATCGGCATATATGTCCATGCGTGTGTGTGTGTGTGTGAGTGTGTGTGTGGGGTCTGGTCTCCCGGCAGGCGATGCCGCATGATATGATAGCATCGTGCCTGAACCTTGTTTTCTACACTCACTCTCTCACGCTCGCAGCAGACTAACAGACTGACAGACTCGCTTGTCTCTCTCTCTCTCTCTTTCACTGTCGTGCGCTCTCGCTCTCTTTGCGGCAGTTCGCGCTCTCCCGCTGATAAGAGGACAACAACAACAAGAGGCGCGCTGTCGTTTGACTTCTCGCCTGCCGTTTGTGTTTGTTCCTCTCTCTGCCCGTTTGTCTTCGTGTGTGTGTGCGTGTGTGTGTTTTTCTTCTTGTTGCTCTTTTTTTTGCATATAAAAGCTCAATGAAAGTTTGCTAAGAAACAATGGAAGCCAAGGCGATTTGTTGCTGTTGTTGAGTGGCTTATTGAAATGTTTACATTGAGAGCTGCATTTATGCAACCCATTGGCAGGCAGAGGCATCAGCAGTGGCAGAGGGCAGAGGCAGCGGCAGAGGCAGAGACAGCTACCTCAATTCGTGGCCGCGTGCGCTGCTTGGAGTTGCCTCTCAGCAAGCAGCTTGGCGTGAGGTAGGTTGACTACAACTACGGCGATGACTGCGACGGCGACTGCGACTGCGACTGCGACTGCGGCAGCGACAGCGATAGAGACGACAACAACTGCATACACAACTGGTTCGCATAGGCAGCCGAATCAGCTGTGCCGCGTCTGTCCGTCCGGCTAGATGTCAAACCAGCTACAACAATGTTGCCGCCTCTGCTGGCTGGGATTTGTGCGTGTGAGCGCTGCGAGCGGCAGGAGACGGAGCTGCTGCTGCTGCTGCTGCTGCTGTTGATGGAGCTAGAGCTGGAGCTGGAACGTCAATTATATATGCGCAGAGGGCGACGGGGCCTGGAGCGAGCGAGTGTGAGTGAGCGCTAATTGTCTTGATTGAGTTTTAAATTAATGCGAATTTGAGTTGTATGTTTATCTTGTTGTTGTTGTTGCTGTTGCTGTCGCTGTTGCACTTGTGTTTCAACTCACATAAATATACGCAAATAAACTGTTGAACTAGTAATACTTTAATAGAGCTCATTCCGTGCATAAAGTAGCACGAGCACGAATAGGGTTCGGCAGAGCCTGGAGTAAGCCACAATATATTACCATTCATATATTATTTATTAGAGAATGCCAACATTCATTGACTGAAGCGAGCTGCTCGCTTCACGGAACCCGCCGTGCTTAGCTTTGTTGACTTCCCAAGTAGCTCACACGCTGCACATGAATGCCTGAGCTGGTATCATATTGTTGATCCTGTCGATCAACTGGTGGCTAAACAATGCGTTCAGCTTGTGATTATGTCTCATCAGGCAGCAACATGAATGAATGCATGAATGAATGACTGATTGGCTGACTGAGTGAATGCAAGCTCATGGGCTTTGCATTATTAATTAACTCGACTCTGCTGGCTGCCGCCTGGTGGCTGCTGCTTCCCTTTGTGTGAATCCACCAGCCATTATGCCATACCAGACTGCCTGCCTGCTGCTGGCTGCTGGCTGCTGGCTGCTGCCTGTTGGCTGTTTGCTGTTGGCTTCCTCGTCTTGTCTCGTCTCCTCTTCTTGGCTCGGTCGGCAAGTCAATCAAAGGCAAAAACAAAAGGCAATGCTGTTAATACTTCTTTTTTTTCAATTAGCTGTATACGCAACACAAACACACTCACACACACACACACGAGTGAAACACAACAACTACAATTAACAACAACGAGCAACAAGCCTCTTTTCCAAACGAACAGGTTTCTCACACGCTGCGGAGGACGCCAACGTTCTATGCCTTTCGGTTTGAGTTTTCAAGATTTTCATTTGAATTTTCATTTTACGACAAGTTTACTCCGGAGGTGGTTAAAACTTTTTTCCTTCACCACATCTAATATTCCGAAACGATTCTCGATCGTCTCACACTGTGTCTCTCGCTCTCTTAATATGTAAATGATAATGACGCTGATGAGGACGCCGATGCCGATGCCGATGATGACGATGACGATGACGATGGGCTGCCGTCAGACACAAAGTTCTTTTCAACACTTTCGGCTCACTTCATTTTATGGACTAAAGCATAAGACTTGGATCGGGTTTTGCGCTGAGGCCGCCGCTGCAGCTCTTGGCACACACAGCAATTGCAATTGGGGGAGCTGCCTTTGATGGAGCCTGAGCTCCGCTTGCTGCCGTGTCAGTCTCAGTCTCAGTCCCAGTCGCAGTCCCAGTTCCACTCTCCAGCAGCAGCCACAGCCACAGCCCCAGAGCTACAGCTTCAGCGTTCCCTTAACATTTAATGAGCATTAACAAGCTGCACTTAAATGCAATAACAACAACAATTGATAACAAGCAAGAATGCTCCATTTGAAGAAGAGAGCTTCAAGCTGGTAAAAGGGTTTAGACGATCAGCTGGTGCCCTGCCCATAGCAGCTGCTCTTCTTTGCGATTCTCAGAATGAGAAAGTAAGTATAGGAGACTTTTATTATGAGTTTGGCTCTCTTTTCAAGCGTAGAGTCCATACACATATTTAAATTTTGTATCTGTTAGTTAAGTAGATTCATCTGATCAATAGACTTAATCAAAATATATTTTAATATTTTTGTTGTATATCTTTTCTTGATATAAGCCTGAGCACTTAATCTCTCGATCTCGAGGTTCGTTTTGATTTTTGAGTTCAACTATATTTCAACATGAAATTGTTAATGCATTCTAGGACATACTTACCCACATAGTGGACATGCAGGGTACACTGCACCAGCTACTCACAATCAGCTCCACGCTGTCTGAGTGCTCGAGCATAAATAGTCGTAGTACCCGTAATACGCTATATGCGTATGTCATCGTGTTTATGTGAGTGTTTCGCTTGATTAACACGAGCTGCAAATTCATTTTGCCTTGTTGTCTTCCTCTGTTTTATTGTACTTGCTTGCATATGTGTGTAAGTGGGCTGGAAGCTGTCGCAGCCGCAGTCGCTGTCGCACCCGGCCGATGCATTGCATCTCGCCATCCTCCGCAGCTCAGCCGCTTCACTGAGAGCTGAAAGCGGAGAGCGGAGAACCAAGAATACCGAGAGTGGAGAGCCTTCTCTGTGAGCAATACTGTGCCAGTTATAAGCGGTAAATCGATGCTGAGGGCCATCTTCTGTGTGTGTATGTGACCCAATGATCTATAAAGGGCGCGGGCAGCGGCTCTACGAGTTGATAAGAAAAGCGAAAATCCATCAGAGCAGCGATTACTTCAGACTACGAATCGGAACATAATCTACTATTACAAGACACTACATACACACATACATACAGATAATCTACCCATTCATGGAAGCACTCACACACACACACACCATATAAACGCATGCCCCACTCCACATTCGGATTCCCATTCATTTCCATATACATTGCGCGATCTCGTCGTCGTCGTTGTGGTCGCACTGCTTGTCCTTGAACTTGACCCAGCAACGCTGGCGAGCGGCCCTTTATTTATGATTATTATTGTATATTATACAAGTGTACACATTTATACTATAATTAATAAATTGAAGTCTGTGTGGATCTCTCTCTCTCTCTCTCGATCTCGTTCTCTGTCTTTCTTTGAGTCAGTGCGAGTGGCTACTTATCTCTGAAGTGCTGCTGTGCGCTGTTTGTCACTCGCCTGTTTCTTCTGTTTCTGACTTTTTTTTAGTCATATTTCTTCTTTGCTTTTTGCGTATTAACAAATTTTCTGACACTCAACATGTTGATCTTTTGCACTTTGGACTGATAACACATGGAATTTTTAACAAAACATTGCATTTTTATTTTTATGCTGAGTATCCGCAAAAAATGTATAATTAATTCAGTGAATATACGTTGCGATTGTTAATTCTATAAAGAACTCATTACAGATATGATAAAATATAAGGTGAGATAATATGCCTATGCAGAAAATATTTAATTTTCTTAATACTATAAGTTTTTCAATTGGGTTGTATTTTCGCTTAATTAATTAATTAATTAATTGTTTTTGGTAAGTTTAATCTTTATAAAAGTATACCAAAAATGGATAAAACTTTAAGTAAAGCGCATTTCAATAATTTGGTATACACTTCTAAAAATGTCTTTGGCTAAGTTGTCTTAGCGTGACTCAACTATCATCAATAATAAAAAAGTAAATTTACAATTTAAGAGACTTAGCTATATAAAAAAAAAGATTAAGTTTACGTTGGTCTATAAACCTAAAGAATTATGTTTGTGTAGCTAAGTAGATTGTTTAATTGATATAAAAATTAATTGTCACTGAACCAAGCAGAGAACCACACATATAAACATTGAAAACATCATCTAATATAACTACTATGCAATGATTCAAACTGTGATTCATTGATTGACTGATTAATTCTGGTAGGCTGTGGGGCTTATCAATCATAGTTTAATAAAGCATCATTAATGACTATTTCATTTGTAAAATTGCTGTCAATAAAAATTGAAGAAACTTTCAATGATTGTTTTTCACATAAAAATGATATTCATACTTAGTATACCAAACTTTATTCAGCAGCCAGAAGTTTCCCTCAATAGAAACTATTGGCTTGGTAAGATATGAATATTAATCAATAATGGTGTATATTTGTATATCAAATATATACATTAACATATGAAATAATATTTTTTTTAATAATGATATATTGTATAACATAAATCGTAATATGTTCGTCTTTAGATAAAATAAAAAGAAACTTCTACCTCGTCGCTCTGTAGAAAACAAAA